CCCCACGCCTCCGGGCTGCCTCTGCCACAACGGCCTCCCCGTGCAGGTGCTGAGAGCTCAGGTGCCCTGGCCCGTCTCACGTGCCACCTTCCCGTCGCGGCCCGTCTTTCTCACGGTCCCATGTCCCACCTTCCCATCATGTCCTGTCTTCCTCACGGTCCCATGTCCCACCTTCCCATCACGTCCTGTCTTTCTCAGCGTCCCCTGTCCCACCTTCCCATCATGTCCTGTCTTCCTCACGGTCCCATGTCCCACCTTCCCATCACGTCCTGTCTTTCTCAGCGTCCCCTGTCCCACCTTCCCATCATGTCCTGTCTTCCTCACGGTCCCATGTCCCACCTTCCCATCACGTCCTGTCTTTCTCAGCGTCCCCTGTCCCACCTTCCCATCATGTCCTGTCTTCCTCACGGTCCCATGTCCCACCTTCCCATCACGTCCTGTCTTTCTCAGCGTCCCCTGTCCCACCTTCCCATCATGTCCTGTCTTCCTCACGGTCCCATGTCCCACCTTCCCATCACGTCCTGTCTTTCTCAGCGTCCCCTGTCCCACCTTCCCATCATGTCCTGTCTTCCTCACGGTCCCATGTCCCACCTTCCCATCACGTCCTGTCTTTCTCAGCGTCCCCTGTCCCACCTTCCCATCATGTCCTGTCTTCCTCACGGTCCCATGTCCCACCTTCCCATCACGTCCTGTCTTTCTCAGCGTCCCCTGTCCCACCTTCCCATCATGTCCTGTCTTCCTCACGGTCCCATGTCCCACCTTCCCATCACGTCCTGTCTTTCTCAGCGTCCCCTGTCCCACCTTCCCATCATGTCCTGTCTTCCTCACGGTCCCATGTCCCACCTTCCCATCACGTCCTGTCTTTCTCAGCGTCCCCTGTCCCACCTTCCCATCATGTCCTGTCTTCCTCACGGTCCCATGTCCCACCTTCCCATCACGTCCTGTCTTTCTCAGCGTCCCCTGTCCCACCTTCCCATCATGTCCTGTCTTCCTCACGGTCCCATGTCCCACCTTCCCATCACGTCCTGTCTTTCTCAGCGTCCCCTGTCCCACCTTCCCATCATGTCCTGTCTTCCTCACGGTCCCATGTCCCACCTTCCCATCACGTCCTGTCTTTCTCAGCGTCCCCTGTCCCACCTTCCCATCATGTCCTGTCTTCCTCACGGTCCCATGTCCCACCTTCCCATCACGTCCTGTCTTTCTCAGCGTCCCATGTCCCACCTTCCCATCATGTCCTGTCTTCCTCACGGTCCCATGTCCCACCTTCCCATCACGTCCTGTCTTTCTCAGCGTCCCATGTCCCACCTTCCCATCATGTCCTGTCTTTCTCAGGGTCCCATGTCCCACCATGTCCCCCCTTCCCATCGCGGCCCATCTTTCTCACGGTCCCATATCCCATCTTCCCGTCGCGGCCCATCTTTCTCACGGTCCCATATCCCATCCACCTTCCCATCGTGTCCCATCTTTCTCACGGTCCCATGTCCCACCTTCCCATTGTGTCCCGTCTTTCTCAGGGTCCCATGTCCCACCTTCCCGTCACGGCCCGTCTCTCATGGCCCCTGGTATCTCTGTGAGAACAGACGACCAGGCCCTGCTCCCATGGCCTTTCCCTTTTCTCGTTCTGTGTTTGTAACTGGGATGGTGACCCAAACTCGGACTCAGCAGGTACATGAAAGAACCGCCTTTGCTCTAGTTCCAGGCAATAGGGTGCACGTGCACACACATGGACACACGTGGACACACACACACATGCGCACATGCACGGGCACATGTTCACACACACGTAAAGCGCACATGTGCACGTGCACACGCACGCACACGAAGTGTATGCGTCAGGGAGCTTTTCTCCGGGGTTTTAAGCACTTTCAGAGGTTCTGCAGCCATTTCCCAGGGGCTGCCCAGCAGCCTGAGGAGGCCGCCCGCTGTGTTACTAGCTGGTGGGTTTGTGCCCGGGTGGGGAGCTTCCCCCTTAGAAAGTCTCCTTTTCCTCAGCCATTTCTCTCCAGAGGGGACCCAGCAGCTCGCAGCTTCCCTCTGCTTAGGCGGCCGCTCTTGCCTTCCTACCAACCTCATTTTACCTGCACACAGCATGCTCCGTGCGAAATCTCAGGCCCTCCGGACAGCGTCACCCGCACGCAGACAGGCTCAGTTCTTCCTGACAGGAAAATGCCAGACTGCTTTTGGAGCTCATTTTGATTTCTTTCTAAGTAATTCTCTGCAGAGGGTCCAGAGTCCACGTTTCCTTTTACGTCTTCCCCACTGTGTGCCCGCTGTCTTCCTGTCCCCACTGTGTGCCCGCTGTCTCCCTCTCCCCACTGTGTGCCTGCTGTCTCCCTCTCCCCACTGTGTGCCCACTGTCTCCGTCTCCCCACTGTGTGCCCGCTGTCTCCTTGTCCCCACTGTGTGCCCGCTGTCTTTGTCTCCCCACTGTGTGCCCACTGTCTCCCTGTCCCCACTATGTGCCCCTGTCTGTGTCTCCCCACTGTGTGCCCGCTGTCTCCCTCTCCCCACTGTGTGCCCGCTGTCTCCCTCTCC